ATTGTAGCCTAATAAAGCTTATTTCTCTTTTCTCTTTTTTCATGGAAGTACCAGTTTAAGCATGCTTTCTTTTAAAAAAGTATAGTCCTAACTATATTGCTCTCTCTTCACACACTCCATTTTGTAAAGATATGTGTCATCTTTTTTTGGGGGGGGGGGTTGCCTTCAGTCAGTATTGACTCCTGGAGACAGCCTGGACCTAGTCTCTGCAGTTTTCTAAGCAAGAATTTGGAAGTGGTTAGTCCTTCCTCCTTCCTAGGGCTGAAAGAGAGTGACCGGCCCAAGGTCACTCAGCTGGCTTTGTGCCTAAGGTTGCATTAGAACTCAGTTTCCCAGTTTCTAGCCTGGAGCCCTTAGCTCCGCACAAATTGGTTCTCGTGCACTATCTAACAGAAAGTATCAATCTACCTTTATTCCAAGAACTCAAGACAATGAATAATCCAGCTGTCTCTCCTCTCATATTTCTCATACCAACTGATTTGGGGGGGGGGGCAAGAGTGTATCCTAGTGTGCTTACACAACCGAGGACAGATTAGGACCTGGATCTCCCTGCTATTAGTCCAACACCTTGACTGTTGCACCATAATGACACTCAGGAGATGTATGGCAGGAGTAGCCAACACCCAAGAAGACAAACTCAGGATCCAAAAAGATTTTGACCAACTTGAACAATGGGCTCTATCCAACATGGAGAAAAGCAAAGTCTTACACTTAGGCAGGAAAAACCAAATGCACAAATGCAGATTGGGTGAGATCTGGCTTAAAAACAGTAACTGTGAGAGGGACTTTGGAGTCCTAGTGGACGATCGCTTGACTATGAGCCAGCAATGTGCAGCAGCAACCAAAAAAGCTAATGCAATCCTGTATAAATAGAGGCATAGAATCAAGATCACACAAAGTAATATTATCATTTTATAAAGCCCTAGTAATACCACACCTGGAATACTGCAGCCAATTTTGGTCACCATATCTCAAAAAAGATGTTGAGAGTTTGGAAAAAAATCAGAGAAGAGCAACTAAGATGATCAGGGGCCTGGAGACTAAAACATACGAAGAATAGCTACGGGACTTGGGTTTGGCTAGTTTAAAGAAAAGAAGAAATAGGGGAGGCATGATAGCAGTGTTCCCGTATCAGAGGGGCTGTCACAAGGCAGAGGGGGCCAGGTTGTTCATCAAAGCACCAGATGGAAGGATGAGAAACAATGGTTGGAAACTGATCAAAGAGAGAAACAACCTGGAATTGAGGAGAAACTCCCTGACAGTGAGGACAATCAACCAGTGGAACAGCTTGCCTCCAGAAATCGTGGGCGCTCCATCACTAGAGATTTTTAAGAGGAGACTGGATATTCACCTGTCTGAGATGCTTGAGCAGGGGGCTGGACTAGAAGACCTCCAAAGTCCCTCCCAGCTTTATTCTATTCTATTCTATTCTATTCTATTCTATTCTATTCTATTCTATTCTATTCTATTCTATTCTATGTTTGACACAGTGGTGGCCTAATTCAATCCCTGTTTATCTGGGAAATACTGTGTTCAATCAGATTTACTTGGAAAATCACTTCCACCAGCTTGATTCATATGGGGTTACTTCCAAATAAATGCTTGATAGGGCCATCATTTAAAACATATACAGTATTAAAACACCCAAGAAACCAAAACCCCATAGTTTGCTAATTTAATTATAGACATTTATTCTTGCAGGTAGTGAAACATGTAATGTTTAGTAAGCATGTTAATGTATATGTAATTTGTATATATGTACATTAGCTCCACCTGTGTCATGCAAGAACTGTAATTCATATTTGGTGTTGTACAGTAAAACACTTGAAATTCATTTCCATTTAAATTTGGTAATTTAGATTCCCACTACACGACCACTTTGAAAGATGAAAAAAAAAATCCAAAACCTGGATTCTGATTTCAGTTGAAGTTATGATAAAGTAGGAGATTTGAAAGATTAATTATAAAAGAGATAATTATAAAACCCTTTTGCACAAAAGAAATACTGTAGTCTACTTTATTATATTCATTACATTGTATGTAAACTCAGTCCTGGGTTCAAAGGTTTAAATATTCCTTTCCTTTCTTTATTTCCTTCCTATCATCAGTTATATGACAACGTTATAAAAAAATAATGTTTTACTGCACGAAGTCAACTGATTTACGGTTTTTAACTGTAACTAAGGAAGCTGTTCAGGTGAGTAGGCGGAACTGAAGCCTTTCATATCCACTTGTCAAGATGACAAGATGACACCCAAATGCTATTTTCCAACTGCTATGGGGGTGGTGGGGTGAATTCTTGCCATTTCATTAACTCTTTCTCCCAGTTCTTCAGTGGAGAACTGCTGAAGGTCAAATCTGAAGAACGAGTGGATTAGCTAGCTGTAATGAGGACAGAATGCAGTCTCAGACAAGTGTGTTTAAACTGGATGTTGGGCCAGGGGAATACAAGTAATCCTCAACTTACGACCATTACATCCAAAATTTATGTTGCTAAGTGAGAGAGTTGTTAAGTGAATTTTGCCCCGTTTTACAGCCTTTCTTGCCACAGTTGTTAAGAGAATCATTGCAGTTAAATTAGTAACATGGTTGTTAAGTGAATCCGGCTTCCCCGCTGACTTTGGTTGTTAGAAGGTTGCAAAAGGTGATCACATGACCCCGGGACACCACAACCAGTTGTTAAGTGAATCACTGTAATTGTGAGAAACATAGTTGTTAAATGAATCTGCTTCCCCATTGATACTGCTTGTCAGGTGGTCACAAAAGCTGATCACAATACCATGGGACATTGCATTCATCATAAATATGAGTCAGTTGCCAAGCGTCGGAATTTTGATCACATGACCATGGGGATGCTGCAAAAGTCATAAGTGTGAAAAACGGTCATAACTCACTTTTTTCAATGCCATTGTAACTTTGGTCACTAAACAAACTACCTCTACCTCTACCTCTAACTCAGCTTGAGTTATAGAAAATCTGCCCATTTGGAGAAATATGCAGGGAGGTTTTCCAACCTTCCTCTGCTACAGATGGTTTCTTTTGTTGCCACCATTTCTATTGTGTCACATTAGCTCACCAACCTTGTGAAGTAGACTAAGGCCGAAAAAGCAAAAGGACCTTTAGGTCAACCAAGTGTGTGTTTTACTTCGTATTTATTGAATTGCAGGTTTCCTCTAACAGGCATCAGGTCAACATACAACACAGGACTTAGGCAGCTGAGATTCAGGGTTCCTCTAGCTTCTCTTTCTTCATCTACAGGAGAGTTTGGGATAGTTATCAAACTTTTACATATACAATTTGAGTTACAAATTGGAATCTTCAACCCTGTAGAATAGAGATGGGGATAGTTTGGACTATCTAAACTTCCAACAGTTTGGATAACAACTGCTATAACCCTTTACCTCAGGGCTTTTCAACCACTGGTACAGGTACCACCAGTGGTACATTGGCACCTGGAAGGTGGTACGCGACCATCCTAGAAAAGTAGCAGGGGAGGGGAATGAGCTGAACCAGTGGCAGCACTGCACAAGCCTGAGCGAGAGATGGCTGGAGCTGCAGGGCTGTCAGGGCTCAGCGGAAGCACCACGATCAGCACCAGGCTCCAGCTGGAGCTCGGCACTGATCCTGGTGCTTCTGCTGAGCCCTAAAGAAGCACCTAGCAGTTGGAAAGCAGCACTGATCCTGGCACTTCTGCTGAACCCAGAAGAAGCGCCTATCAGCTGGAATGCTGCAGCATCTCCAGGGTCTTGTGATTTACATTCAGATACTTGGCAACTGATTCATATTTATGACGGTCACAGTGTCCCGAGGTCATGTGAAGTGACCCAAAACTGCTGCAACCACCCAGCAGATGGGGGAGAATAAAAACCACCCCCACCCCCACCCCTGCTGCCAATTCTCAACAGAAATGCTCACAATGAAAACCTCAGACAGGAGGAAGAGCGCCGCCAGGCAGGCAGGCAAGTGTCTTGCTCAGCTGTGGCTTGGGGGGCACTCTTTTTAGTGCCATTGTAATTTCCAACAGTCACTAAGCAAACTGTTGTAAGTCGAGGACTACCTGTACTTTATCACTTTTTTCCTTTTTGGGGGGGGGGTCATCAAGTTTTTGAGACCCTGCTAGGCGACTGGTGGTACTCGGATGTTGCCATATCCTAAAAGTGGTACAATGGGTAAAAAGATTGAAAAGCCCTGCTTTACCTTATCTATTCAAAGCCATCAAGGGACAGGCGCTTTCCACCCCTCTATGTAATGTAACTTCCCTTACATCTCCACTTGCCAAGAGAAAGCCTCAACCTTCAAGTCTATGGAGATTCTCAGTCATCCAGGTCGTGGTTGTCCCAAAGGTGCTTTTTCAGGAGGCAACTGGACTTTCTTGTTTTACTTTGAAGACGTTTCTGCTTCTCATCCATTCCCCACCAAAGCACCTTTGGGACAACCATGACCTGGATGACTGAGAATCTCCATAGACATTTAGCTATCCATTTTGGGATGAACACCCTTCGAATGGTGTGGGAGTATGAACCGATTTCCAGAAAATACTGCAAACTATAGGAACCATTTGCGCTTCAGTTTGAGATGCAGACAACACACACTCGGCCCCAACAGCCTATGCTTGTCTTCAACAGTGGAGGGACACAGGGCAAAAAACATCCTGCAGCCAAGAAGTCTCCACACACCTTTGCACTACTTGGATGACCCTGAGGACACAGGTAAACCTCCAAATGGCCCCAACAGCTCTCTAAAAGAGTGCAAATGACCAGCTGTGTGCAAGGAATATAAATCCTTCCATTCCCCACCATCCACTCAGAGCTGGTTGGTTGAGATGCAAAATGCTTTCAAAGAAAAAGAAGAAAGTCCAGTTGCTTCCTGAAAAAGCACCTTTGGGATCTCGACCTTCAAGCGATCTACTTTGTGGGCCTCGTTCCAAGCGCCCTGCAAACCAGCTGCTTGCCACTTCGACTCTCCTCAACCTCTACTGACAGGGCCACCAGGCAAGGGTTAATGGAAGTCGGACTCCAAAGCATGCGGGAGGATGCCTTTCTCCAAGGTGAAAAAAAGGGCGGGCGAGCAGGCTCCGAGCCCAGGCAGCAAGAACCGCGTGGCTTTTTTTTTTTTTTTTTTTTTGCCTTTGGGAAAGGAGCGCGAAGCTCGCCCGGCCCGTGCGCGCGCGCGCTATTTGAGAAAGAAAGAAATGCAATACTCGACACGGGCGGGGTCTCCTCCTGATGCAACAGGAAGCGGGGATGTTTCCCCTTTGGCTGCCGATAAGTTACAAACCTCACAAGGCTTCTGAGCGCTCCGGGCTGCAGAGCCAGCCGTCGTCCGCCTCAGTGGCCGCGCGCGGGCTCCCTCGAAGACCTCCGCTGATTGGATTGTACCTAGACCCTGTAGGAGCAGCCGGCGGAATCGCGGCACTTCTTTTTTAACCGTTTCCGCTCCTCTCTCGGTTTTATTACTTTTTTTAAATCTTTTTTTAAAACTTTTTTGGGGGGTGGTGGTGGTGGTGGTTGTGGTGGGGGATTCTTTCTTGCAAAACCGGGACAAGCCAACTCCCATTTGATTCCTGCTATTAAGCACAGGAAGGAACAGCTTGCGGTGAGTAAAATAAAAGCGGGGGGGGGGAGGAGGAAAGAGGGGTGAAACATTATAGGAGAGACGGAAAGAGAGATATACAGTCCTTCTTGCTTGTGGGGAATAAGATTCATAAAAAGCCGGGGAGGAAATTTCTCGGACCATCCAATTCGCTTTGAAAGAAAGAGATTGGAGGGGGGGGAGGCGGAGGAGCGCCCCCTTTTCCCCAGCGCTGCTCAGTAATGAATTGCCTGCAAATACAAACGGGCGCTCTCCGGTGTGCGGGTTAAAAAAAAAACCCGGTCCAAAGCTAGCTTCTTCAGTCAGCCAGGAGTTGCGTTTCCTTTGACCCACGCGTGCCCGTGCTTTAGCTGCCTGCGAAATCGGGAGAAAGGGGCGCGAATCGAGTTTTAACTCCGGGCGTCTGGAGTATAAACCCAGCGAATTTGGAAACGTGAGAAAGAAACGATCTTCTGCATGGAATCCTGGCCCACGTTCTGTAAGCATCTCTTTCTAAAAATAAGAAAAGCGGACGGGAGAAGGAGCAAGCTGTGCGGTCTTCTGTAGCGACCTCCTCTCTCTCTCCCCCCCCCCCCCCAGTCCTCCAGCCTTTCAGGGGATTCATCTCGGCACGAGAGTTTCAGCAGCGCGGCTGGTTGCTTCGCCTCTCAGTCCCAAGGGAGATGGGAAGTTTTTGTTGGTGTGAATGTGTGTGCGTGCGCGCGCGTAGGGCACACAGAGGGCAAAATGTAAAATGGGGCATTTAACTTTAACAGCTTCTTCTGAGGTCGGACGAATCAGAAGTAAACGCTTTGGTGTTTGGAGAACGCTACTTCTCAAGACAGCGCGGTTGTATACTCGTGTGAGAAACACCTCTCTGCTATAGTTGCAGGAGATTTATTTCTGGAGTAAACGAACGTCGGGTGTGCAGTGAGAGGCAAATAGAAGCTCATGAATAATACAGTCTAACATTGGGTATAGTCAATGGCTTTATTTTATTTGGAACCGTTTTTTAAAAAAATATTCCTCAAAGAGCAGGGCTTAATTAATTCTCTGGCTTCTCAATTAACTAATTAAAGTAGCCGACCTAGGTTTTAGCCACAAGACATGTTACTTATCCCTGAATGTTATTAAAATGCTCCCTGAGGATGAGCTGTGGGAAACATAAATGCTTGGCAAATTGTTTTATTGCCTGATTTTATGTTTTTAACAGGAACCTGCGGGTTGATTTGGTTTTGCCAGATGATGCGGTTTTAATGCTTTGAAGTAAAACTGTCCATTGATTTCAGAGGAATATGATGAAGATGGTAATTTTAAATGTATGTCTATGGTGATTCTCAATCATCCAAGCTTGGTGGGGAATGGAAGGATTTATATTCCGTAGTGGTCATCTGGTGGTTAGCTCTCTGATGGTTGAGGCCACTAGGGGGTTTAGATATGTATAAACTATTAAACTTTTAAGCTATGTAGTTTAATACTAAATTCTTTAAATTTACTGCAAATTTCACACTGAATCTGTTTTTGAGTAAGTATGATTAATATTGTGAAGTTGGTGGAATGTGGTTGATAGTTCACCATTTAAGCCTTCTCTGAGTTTGAGTTTGATAAATGTTGTCTTTTTCTTGTCTTTTTGGTTTTAAAACTTGGCAGTTATGAAAATATGAATGGGTATGACATAATAGGTTGATCCAGAATGTTCTTTTGTCTGTCTGTCTGTCTGTCTATCCATCCATCCATCCACCCATCCACATTGAATTCTAGCACCATGAAATTCAGCTTTGGGGTGCTTTATTTTCAGTGTACAAAAGAAGAAAGTGCAAAAGCGATGAACTGTCCAGAGCGAACATGCTCAAAATATGAATACTGGTTGCTGAAAGAAAATGTCAAAATTGCAATAAATCTGAATGTAGCTCCTGATTTCTGTGGTTGTGGGATGTGACCCAAGAAAACACTTATGTTTTATTCTGTCCTTTTGAAAGCATTCTTAAGAGCTTTTGACCACAGCTCTGCTTTATTTTGGAAATCTGGAAATCAGTGGGAGGTATTTCAAGGAACACTATATAAATAAGAGGTTTAATTTTGTGCTTTAAAGAGACTGGCTTTTGCATATAGGACATACAGACTCTTAAGAGAAATCTGACTATAACAGCAGTGAAATTAAACAAATACGATTTAAGATTGCCTTACGTAATTCCTGGTCCATTCCATATATGTCAGATGTAGAATTCTGAATATTGTGGTACTTGTACTCCCAATTCTGTCCGGAGGGCATCAGGTTAAAAAATGGTTTAAGATTTGCACCTTTTAAGTAAATGTAATTTTATACGGAAAAACAAGAATTGTTTTGCTGGCACAAGATTCAATTAAGTCTATAAAAATAAAATAGTAGATCTATTGCAGATCATATTTAATAGAACTGGATCTATTCACTAGATGTGAATGGACTTTTGGCCTAAATTGGAATGGATGCTGTATCTAAGCTAGTTACATTTTAAAACCATTTTTTAGAAGTAAATAAAATACTCAATTTGTAGTTGTTTCTTTGAGTTCCTCAGCCATTTTGGAAAAAAATACTGGTCCCTGTCTTTGTATAAAGAAGAATTGGGGGGGGGAGGTTGGTTGGCTGTTGTTCTGTAGATCTTAAATTTATGCCATAATTTGTAGTTGACACATAATTATTGTTATTCACTGTTCCATGTGATTTCAGCAATTGTCAGTGAAATGTACTTTTAGTTTTGCATGCAGTATGCGTAATATAATTTACTGACATCTTAAATGCAAATCATCCCTATTCATCTAGACAAAACCATAAATATGGGCATGGAATGGGGGAGAGAAGTAAGTGGGGAAGCTACCTTGTCTATTATAAACAACTGTACATCCAGATATCTGAATATATCTGTCTGATCACCTCAAAAATACCATCCTATGAAAACGTATAAGCTCTTTGTGTTTAACAGCATAAATTTATAGTGTTTATAAATGTATGGTTTTAATTTAATTATTTTAATTTTCAACCTAGAAAAATAGGGTTGTTAGAAAGCAAAGTTAAATACTTAAAACAAGCAATAGTTTGGAGCTGACAGCACTTGACTTCTAAATTAAATAATGCCTGACATTTATACCATATTTCAACTCTCTAAAAACTTTTGGCATGTATTGTCTAGTTGCAGTCTTCCTCACTTGATTCTCAACCATGTATTGATGTTCATTTTAGATGTGGATATACTGTACATATGCAGTTGTATATATTACTTTGGAGGAAAAAAAATTCCTGGATTTAGCCCACTCCATATCATATCCTAGTTTAGCAAACCCCTCCCCCCTCAATGGCACAGCAGTGTATGGGTGCGGATTTTTTCTATTTATTTTGAACTGCTGAAAGTTCTCCCTTCAAATGATTGATTTTACAAATAATATATTTTTCTTTCTATGAGACATGTGTTGGAAAACTACCAGAACGATTTGCTTTTTAAATAAAATGATTTACAATTGGAAATGATCTCTATCCATAGATTGTTGCTGCTGCTTTATAATATAAATTTCTGTGTATGTACTATTCTTTTTTGACCATGTTGAAACATATATTTTATGCTATTTTGTCTCTTTGTAAATCAGAGAGAGATATAATTGCAGAATAAATTTTGGGAAAGATTGTCAAAAAATAAAAATAATTTGACCACATGGATGACCACCAGAACTCTTCCTTCATAAAGGAGTCATGCTCTTGATTATTCTGACACAAGTTGCCAAGTTGTGTATTGATTTTAATATAAGATAAGCAACCTTATTGGAATGATTATAAAAAGAGAAATAAATTTATGTAAGTGAAAATATTTTCACCTGTGGACTAAATCTTTCTATGTAAGTTGGCCTTTCACTGGAATGTTTCATAAGGATTCAGATATACATACCTGTCTTTTATGCATTCAGTAAATATTGATTGGATGTGCTGAAATAGAAATCCAGAAAATTTGTTTCTGAATGTTTCTCTAAAGAAAAGTGGTAGTTTAATTATATAATGCACAAGTAATTTTATGAGGGCATATAGAGTGCAAAAGATTTCATAGGATACTATATTTACTACATTATCTTATTGCTTTCACTTAAATATACTATGATATATACATACAGGCATACATACATCTAAAGATATATATTTTTCTTTGTAATATAAAACTCACAGATCTGGCTCAAACTATTAAATTTTAAGAATAAGAAAGAAATTATCATAATTTTGTAAAATTCAGAACACAACAAATTTGATTTTAAAGAAATGTATATATTAAATAACTGCAAATATTGTGAATGGAAAGATGTGAATACATCTAATAGGAATACTGCTGCTGCTGCTGCTAGTCCTAGCCTTGTCAAACAAAGTTTTGAAATCAAACAATTTTTGACTTACAAATTAGTTACTGGAAATGTCATCCTGGAATAGTTTTCTTTGGAGCCATCAGATTATTATTAATGGAAGTAGACTGGATTAAATCATTTGTTTATTGAAGCTTTTGAGGGAGAAAGAAGTTAAGCAAATAGTTAACACTATGTTTAGTCTGTTATATAATAAGGAGCTAGAGACCATATAGAAGGATAGAGTCAGGTCCTCATTATCTGGTTAAGATGAAGTATATAGATTATGCCTGCTAAATTCCTTTGTTTTATATGTTACAGTATACAGAAAGTTACATGGAGCCTTCCCTGGGGACCTTTTATATAGACATATAGTATGTTACATAAGCACGCGCACACACACACACACACACACACACATCCATTTATTCTCAACAGCAAACTAAACTTCCCTTCATGTTTAAGTTTTTATTTCCATCTACTTTTCATAGAATAATAATGGATTGGATTCAGTCTGTATCCAATAAACATTCATTGAAGTTAATAGGAGAAAATCCTTGGAATTTCTACCTCTTTGATTTCAATTGGCTCTGGGGGCAACTATTGGAATCTATAGTCAACTAATTAAAATATTTTTTAAAAAAATTCCAAAGAAAACTTCTCTAATGAGT